CACGAACTGTGTGAGGGGAGTGCCGTCATGGGTGGCACGGGCGCATGGGAACGTCGCCGCTGGAGCCTTAGGCGGAGTTCCCGATGGCGACGCGAACCGCGTGAGGGGTGTGCCGAAATGGTGGAACGGACATATGGGAAGGTCGCCACGAAAGCTTTAAGTGAAGCTCCCTGTGGGGCCACGAACCGTGTGAAGGGTGTGCCAAACATGGGCGGCGCGGACGCATGGGAACATCGCCTCTGAGGCCACGAACAGTGTGAGAGGTGTGCCAAAAATGGGTGGCGCGGACGCATGGGAACGTCGCCGCTGGGGTTTTCGGTGGGGCTCCCTATGGGCCCCGAACCGGATGAGGGGTTCGCCGGAATGGATGGCGCGGACGCATGGGAACGTCGCCGCTGGGGCCTTAGGTGGCGTTCCCTATGGGGCAACGAGCCGTGTGGCGAGGACGCATGGGAACGTCGCCGCTGGGGTCTTCGGTGGGGCTCCCTATGGGGCTACGAACCGTGAGAGGGGTGCGTTGAAATAGGTGGCGCGACCGCATGGGAACGTCGCCATTGGGACCTTAGGTGGAGATCCCTATGGGGCCACGAAGCGTGTGAAGGGTGTGCCAAGAAAGGGCGGCGCCGCCATGCGAACTGTGCCACTGCGGTCTTACATGGTGATGACGACGGCAATGATGTTGATGTTGACGGTGATGATGACGATCACGATGACGATGACGATGCTGATGCTGATGATGATTATGTTGTTGTTGATGTTGTTGATGATGATGATGCTGATGATGATGATGATGATGATGATGATGATGGTGACGGGAGGGGGGAGGAGGGGAAGAGGTGGGAGGGACCCGGGGCGCTCTCTCTTCAACACGAGGACCCAAACCACAGGACGGTTGGGAGAAATGATGAGCCCTCTCCCCCCCCGATCCCGACTGCCATTAATTCGCCACCGAATAATATTTGAAACTGTCCCCCCATGCAACAAATTTTCCACGGAGACCGAGCGATGCGATGCCTTCTTGGGACCATCTTGGAGGATATCGATCAAAGAGGGGAGGTCCGTAAATAGGGCCGCCCATCCAGAGCCCCCTGAGTCGCCTCTTGGGGCCCTCTCGGGGCGTTATTGGTGCGCTCTTGGGGCTGTGCTGAACCATCTTGGGCCTCTCTTGGAGCCATTTTGGGCCACCTTGGAGCCATCATGGAGCCTCGGGAGCCCATCGGAAGCGAAAGGGCGAGAATGCCAAAATCATTGATTGCTTTTACGTTATGGTCGGATTCTGGCTTCGTGGGGGCCTCCTTGGGAGTCTTCGCGGCCACTTGGACCCGTCTTGGGGCCATCATGGGGCCACTTGGAGGCATCTTGGAGGCCATCTTGAGCAAGCTTTGACCATCTTGCGCCATCTTGGAGGCCATCTTCAAGCACCCGGGGCCATCTCGGAGCCCCCTTCAAGGTCCCCCTCGGCACCAGAAGGGGTGCGCCAGGGACGGTCGCTGAGCGCGTATTCTGTCCACGCCAGGGTCGCAGGGCATGCCCGGCGCGGCGTTTTCTCAGCACCAGTGAGGCAGGGTGTGCATGGAGTGGTCCCTGAGCGCAGTCTCGATCCACTTCGGGTCGCAGGGCGTGTTACGTGTAGCACGTTCGCGACCCAGAGAGGGTGCGCAGGAGGGGGGTCCCTGAGCGCAGTCTCTACCCATGCTAAGTTGGCAGGGCGTGGCAGGCGTGACCTGTTACCAGGAAGGGGGTGCGCAGGATTCCGCCTCTGCGCGCGGAGCGCCAGGGCGGTCGTGGGGACGTCCCCTGCGGTCCAGTTTGCCCCGCATTCCCTCTTGTGTATACATATACACATATGCACATACATATCTACACATATGTTTATGTATAGATATGCGCACTACAGCGCTAAGAATAACTATTCCTTAAACTGTCCCCCATATTGATTTTGTTTCAAACGCATTCAGACATTAAGAGGGCCCCAACACGGCCATACGAGGATCCCAAAAAAATCAATCACGGACCGAACATCCGAGCATTCCGCCCTAAGAGGCCCCAGGAAGCCCCCAGAGGCGCCCAGGAGGTCCCAGGAGGCGCCCAAGAGGCCCCCAGGAGCTCCCAAGAGGCCCCTAGAGGCACCATAACGGCCCCCAAGAGGCCCCCAAACGGCCCCCAAGAGGCCTCCAAACTGCCTCCAAGAGGCCCCCCACGAGATCCCAACGAACACCCAATAGTCTTCACTAGAACCACGCGCGCGCTTCGCGCGCGCTTAGGTTCTAGCTAGGAGGCGAGCTTGAGTCAACGAAAGTCGCAGGGAAGGGGGCAGGGGGAAGAAGGCAGAGAGCGCTGAAGGATACAAATACTGGAACCCTCTTGTGATTTTGTGGGGGGCCTCGTCCGGCCGCTCGCTGGGAGTTTGACGTAGCTTCTCGGGAGCCTCTGAACCTGTCGGGGGCCTCCTGGAAGCAGGTTCGAAGCATTTTGGGGGACGATTTGGGGCTTCTCGGGGCCTCCTTTGGGCCTCTTGGGGGTCTCCTGGGGCCTCTTGAGGGGCCTCCTTGGGGCCTCCTGGCGGCCTCTTGGGGCGGAAGGCTCGAGCTTGCGGTTCGTGGTCCCCCTCTGGGCCCCCTCTTGGGCCCGTCTTGGGGCCCTCTTGGGCCATCTTGGGCGCCTCTTGGGCCGTCTTGGGGCCCTCTTGGGCTGTCCTGGGGCCCTCTTGGAAGCTTCTTGGGCCGTCTTGGGGCGGTCTTGGAGGCCTCTTGGGCCGTCTTGGACGCGGTGAAAGCCCAAGATGCGAACATGCGAAAAATATACATTTTCCCATCGGAATGGCACGATTTTTGTTTCTTGGACCTCTCTTGGGGTGCCTCTCGGAACGTCTTGGGGTGCTTTTGGAAGCCTTTTGGCGCCTCTTGGCTTTCTCCTTCTGGGACCCCTCTCGAAGTCGTCTTGGGGTTCTCTTGGGCCGTCTTGAGGCCGTCCTGAGCCACTCGTGCGCAGCCTTGGAGCGCTCCCGGAGGCCTCCCAGGCCGTCTTGGAGGCCTCTTGGGCCGTCTTGGACGCGGTGAAAGCCCAAGATGCGAACATGCGAAAAATATACGTTTTCCCATAGGAATGGCACGATTTTTGTTTCTTGGACCTCTCTTGGGGTGCCTCTCGGAACGTCTTGGGGTGCTTTGGGGGGCCTTTTGGCGCCTCTTGGCGGCATTTTGGCGCCTCCTGGAGCCTCTTGGGCCGGAAGCTCGGAATTCGAGGTTGGCTTTCTCCGTCTGGGACCCCTCTCGAACTCGTCTTGGGGCTCTCTTCGGCCGTCTTGGGGCCGTCCTGGGCCACTCGTGCGCAGCCTTGGAGCGCTCCCGGAGGCCTCGTAGACCGTCTTGGGCGCCTCTTGGGCCGTCTTGGACGCGGTGAAAGCCCAAGAGGCGAACATGCGAAAAATATACGTTTTCCCATAGGAATGGCACGATTTTTGCTTCTTGGGCCTCTCTTGGGCTGCCTCTCGGAGCGTCTTGGAGGCTTCTGGGACCTTCTTGGTGTCATGACAGGCGTCTTGGAAAGCATCTGGAGCCATCGGAGCGCGTTCCGAAGCCGCCTGCGAACGATCTTGGACGGCGTCCGGCGGTCCGACGAGCCTCCGGGCCCCCCGGGACCCACATTTGTGGTCGAGGTCCCGGCCCCGGGCCCCCAGACCCGGCGCGCCGTTATATGTATATAACCACAACCCAAGCACGGTGGCGGGATGGGCCGAAGGCCGTTAGATCCGCCGCCCCCTGCTTGCAGGGGTGCACGGCGTGCTGGATGATTCACGTTTTGTTTTGGTTCTTTTTCTAAAAGAACTCCCCAGTGGGCTTCGGCCCGTCCCGCCGGCCACCCGCAAATTGCCGAAAACCCATCTCTCAATGCCCAAAAACGGCCGTTTCGCTCGGGACATCCTCAAAAAATCGCGACGATGGCCCAAGATGGCCTCCAAGTCCGCCCGAGATGGTCCAAGACGGCCTCCAAAACGGCCCAAGAGAGTCCAAGACGGCCCAAGACGGCCCACGAGGCCCCCCAGAGGCCTCCCAGACGGCCCAAGAGGCCTCCAAGAGGTCCTCCAGGAGAGTCCGAAGAGGCCAAAATCATTGATTTTCCATTGGTTTTTGAAGGATTTTGGCATTTGCGCCTTCTCGGCTCTCCGACGGCACAAGACGGCCCAAGAAGCCCCCAAGATCGCCCAAGAGGCCCCCAAGAGAGCCCCATGATGGCCCAAGTGGCCTCCAAGATGGCCCCTAGAGGGCCCCAAGAGGGCCCAAGAGGCCTCCAACACGCCCAAGATGGCCTCCCAGACGCCCAAGATGGCCTCCCAGACGCCCAAGATGGCCTCCAAGACGGCCCTGGAGCATTCCAAGCGGGCCCCAAGTCGGCCCATAGAGGCCCCCCAAACGGCTTCCGACGGCTTCAGACGTGCCAGGAACCCACCAAGATGGCCGAAGTTGGCTAGAAGCTGGCCCGAGACGGCCCAAAAAGCCCCAAAGATCGCCCAAAGCTTGCCCAAGAGGCCTCCAAGACGGCCAAGATGACCTTCAAGATGCCCACGTGTTCCCCGAAGGCTTTCCAAACCGATTCGGGGAACACGTGGTCCGATAGCTT